TCTGACCCTCTGGTGAACAAATTATTAAGAGCATGGCAGCATACCTCATTGGGAGTAGGATGGATAGCTCGGGGGAAAAAATATTGTTGAAGTGCCAGCACCGCCAGACCTCGACGTATGTAGCTCCACGGGGATGACTTGACAGCTTAGTAACGCCAAGATCCACTTATCTACCTTGTTATCCAGTTTTCTAAAGCCTGGTTATCTTTTCTTCACTTCATCTTGCTCCCGATTTTATGAGAACTACAGCACACCCCCACCCACTGGTCTAAAAGGTCTCCTCTCAATCTCTGATCCGTGTCCGTGAGGAGAGGAAGAAGAGCGCGTCGAAGGGACACCAGAAGAAGGGTGTGGTCAAGGGCTATGGGGTTGGCAGAGGCTTTCGCCCGAGTCACCATTGAACACGCCAGGGCTTCATACGGCAGTATTGGAGCTATCTTCTACCTCGTTTGTGGCGCAATCATCTTAAGCACCTCATTCATCCCATATTCTCCGCTGTTATTTTAGGATGACCCGATTCATATCTACCCCCAACGACAAGCTGAAGGTGTTCCGAGCTCTACATGAACGCTGAAGATTGGAAAGACGTCAGGTTAGTCGCCATGCGTATCACAAGCATGCTGACAGGCTAAGTTCGATCCAAAGCTACCACTGGACTGTGTCCGACTTGAAGGCTATTGCTTGCATTTACTGTTGGCATCAATTGCCTGATGCAGGAGTCTCTGCCTTCTTTACCGACTCCATTACGAAATGGGCATCGAACAATAGTTGACCAGATGGCTTTTTCTCGACATTTCTGTCTGGTCAAAGATAAACTGGAACTATTCTTGAACAGGATGGGTCCTCCGTCACAATCCTTTGATCTCTAAGGTCTCGAGTTCATGCGCTTTGGTCGCGCACCCCACATTTGCCCTTCATGTTGACAAAACATAGAGATAGACGCGTGGAATCATCTATCACGAAGAGGGTGAGAGGGGTCACGGGGCCCTTTCTCCTACGGATTCTGCACGTCGCAGCCGAAGAAAGCTTAATGGCCGTGTGCATAATAAGGTGCTCGAAGGTGGAAGCTATTTCAACCATGTTCTTCTACTATGATAGCAAATCCCGGCTCGGTCGCTTTCTCTTCGTCTAGTTTAGGTAGGATCTTCCATCGGAAGGTGTGACGCTCACTGTATTTCTTTCCCTTTTCCGTCGAGATAGGATCGAGGTAGCTGCAGAGGCGTTCGCTCGGTCCCCCCGCCGGCCGCACGACTAAAATCAAGTTCTGGGGGGGCTCCGCCAACGTCGGAGGGAATCCAAAACCCTGAAGTCTTTCTTGGTTCATATGGCCAGAGATGCGTCACGCGTCAAGCACTGCCTCTCCGAACGAGGGTTGTCCGATTTAAGCCCACTGGAAATTCATCAAGCCCCTCACTTCTTTCCGCCACGTTGGGGGGGTGGGGGCGGGCGAGTAGGCATTCGAACGTGAGACGCGACCCGGGAAGGAAGGTTCTTTTCTTTGCTATAAAAGGGCGCCGGTCTTCGTCAGACCATCCACGGACGGACGAGTCTCTGGATTCTCCATGGTTTCCGTTCAGCAAGCATTCACATATATGCATGCACGCACGCATGCATGCATGAAACCCATCTGGCCTTCGTCCGGCGCGTTTTCCTGCGCTCCTCCGATGTGCTCGGCTAGTTCTCCATGGTCTCACCCGCCCTTCGAACTGACCGCATGAAGCGCGTATTCCCCGAGTGTCTATCGAACCAGGCGCAGTACTTTCCATGTACATAAAAAAAAAAAAATCTTCTTCGGTGAGATCCTCGCGGATTCAGTTGCCGAGCATAGAAAGACCGCCGATGGGGTATCTCAGTGAGGAAGACGGCTCTCAACTGTTAACTGATATAATAATAGTTTAGACAAGAACACCAACACGGCTGTCATGGCTTTGAAAATCCCTCGACGTACCCTACTCATTGATGGCCCTTTTATTTGCGCGTACGGCGATCATGCCTAGAGAGAGAGAGAGAGAGTTACTGATGGCTCCAGGCAACCTGACGCTGATCTCAGGAAGCCCAGAAAGAAACAAAAAAGAGCGGCTCTTCTTTGGACTTAAAAGGGCTTTTATTTATTTATTATACTACTATATCGAAAATTAAAAGGAACTTATGATAACAGAGAAAGCCCGAGGATAAGCCCAGAAAAATAGATGTGGTTCAGAGTTAGAGACTCCGGATCTCCTCTTCGATGAACAGAAGCTGCACCGAACCATTTCAGAATCCTCACCTCGTTCGTCACCGCCCCGCCGGTATCCCCAGCATCGGCTGGGCGGGACATAGTGAGAGAGGCACCATAGATTGCAGCCAAAGCTGCCCCTTTCCGTCCCCCCACAGGAAGATAGGTCGTGATAGAGAGAGAGAGAGAGTAGCCTTGATCTATGACGAACATCGCAGCTATCGAAACGCATACACCAACACCCAGTGGAGAAATGTACGCAGAGATCATCACAAGGGCACACGCATAGAAGCTTCCCCGCATAGATACAAGCAGACACAGAAACATACATATAATCAAAACTTAAGCAATGACAAATTCCCATTTACAGAAATCAATCCTAACCTAGACTGTTCTTCACTAGAAGATAGAAACCCCCCCCCCCCCTCTACTTGGTCAACTTTTCTGGGTAAAAAAAATTAAAAATGGCATTTTTTCTGTGCACCTAGGACAAGGGAACTTGACAATTCTCTCCCCCAGGGGTTTCCATTTCGGGTAGAAAAAAGATCATCAGTCCAGAAGCTTAGGTAGGGCTTTCAGCAGCCCACCATTTTTAGAAATTCATGGATCCACAGTAAATTCACAAACGCATCAGATATACCTGATACGCCCAAAACCTAATAGCAGAAGATTTCCAAGTATGCACAATGGATCAATAAATCGACTTATAAAATCATTTAATGGTGCTTTCCACTACTCATTTGGGGAGATTTTCACGTCATAATCAAGAAGAAAAATTGGCCCAAGTTAGTAACCTCAGCGATTTGCTTAGTCGGAATGATCTAGAACAATCCCCACCTGATCTTGGCACCCTTTTCGTTTCCTCCTAAAGAACCACGGCCAGTCCCAGTCTCTGTCTAAAAGAGTTGGCCATATGTTTTGTTCGATCCACCAGAGTTCCAAGTGCATATGAAACACCCCATCTATCATTCCTTCCCTATTAACCACCCTTTTCTATCTTGATCCCGAGTAATATTTCTTCCCATCCCCCCTGCACATCATATCCACCACAGGCAAGAGAACATGCATATGATGTTGCTCATTTATTTTATTTTTGGAGAATCCAACTTGTTTAAATGAATTGAATCTAGAGTCTGCGTGTGTGGAGGAAGAGATGCCAAACTGGCAGGGATATGAGTTCCTCTAAGCTAATTGTTATTGAAAAATTGAGTCAGTGGAGATCAAATCGGTATGTATGAGGGTTCTATAATTGTCCAAAAAAAAAAAAAAAAAAAGGCAATTAAAAAGGATGTCCATTTCTACCATAGATTTAACTTTCTCAAGTTTGGTGAATGAAAGATAATTCAAGCATGTCCCCTAACCCGCAGGTCAACTTCCTGGATGATTATTCCGCTTGGGCCATACATGGATACTGGGGCTCCTATAGGTCAACTCGGCGATGTACTGCTAACCTACAGCATTGGGCTCCCATTGTATCCGCTTCAGTCTCCTAGACATTGTTTCATCTACAGTTGTCATACACCATGACAAGTAAAGCACAATGATTTACAAAGAACTGAAACAGAACGCCTGGACAGGCTAAAAGAAAAAATATTTATGCAAAATAAGAGGAAAGGAGACGGCCAAGAAATAAAATGGGGGATAGACAAAGAAAATACGAGCTGAGGAGGAAAAAAGAATAAACAACAGAAAGGTGCTGAAAGACGACCGGGTGCTGATCGGCGAAGAATGATATATAGCTTGAATTCTTGAATCACACAACGCTAATGGAAGATAAACAGAAAATTTTTGACATGTACAGCGTACACTAATTTTGAAATGTAAATTGACTTTGTTACAAGTCCAACTGCACATATACATACATACATTTTGATGGCCTCATCAGCTGACATCAACACGAGGACATGGGACGGAAGCTTATACCACCCTGGTGTATAATAAAACAAATTCCTCGGAATAACTGTCATGGTGCCAATCAGCCAGAGTTAAACCAAGGCGCAATATAATCATGGAAAGAACTTTTCTACTATACTGAATATGGATTAGTTTATATATACAGTCACGTTTTAGAGAAACATGTGAATATTTCACCTGGTATGAAGGTCAAAACCGGTACAGCACATAGCCAGCTCAATCAAATCACCTACTCTGACTGTATTTTCATCTATCAATCAACCACAAAGCTGTTTTAGTGTCAACCTCAAACAAGAAATTGACAACTTTATGCTTAGCTCATTGATAATGCAATTGCCATTTGATATGTATATTTTTCTAATGAGTAAGAACAGGCAACTAGCGTTAAGAATGGTCATTCCTATATAAACATGTTACTAATCTCAATTGTTATAATTTTGAACCCACTTCATGCGCCAATGCAATTTTATTTCCTATAATAGAGTATCGTTGATGACAGAACCCAATGACGCCCATGGGATGACGAAAATGAAAGCGTGAGAATAAAAGACTACAATTTCCAAGTGTTTAGTCTCCTCAAACAGTAATCATCACAGCAGGTGTAGACACACATTACCAGAAAATTAGCAGCAAAATCAGCACTTGGATCAAGAAACTAGCTCAGGATATCCTCATTACCGACTTGTGCTGCCAGCAATAAAGATAAACTACATTAAACCATTATGTTTATGATATGTGTAAGGCAGAGAGAAGTCACCATCTATGGTGATTATCTCTTCCACAGAAAAGGTTACAAATAAACTAGAAAAGATAATACTAAAAAGAAAAAGAGCAAATCATCTCAAAATATAAGCAACACGAAGGAACAAATTTAATGATTAATGGCCTTCTTTGCCCGTAGAGATTCAAGGGCCTTTTTCCGCAACTCAATCTCAAGCTTCTTCTGATCAGTCTCCCTTTCCTCTGTGTCGGTTGTGATTGAAACCTTCAAACCAGCTTCTTCGTCAGACTCTTCAGCCGCACTATAGTTTCTCTCTTTGTCTGGGTGGGATCCCACAGTGTGAACGTCCTTCGACATCTTTTGTGCCCGTCGTTCCTCCCTTTTTCTATGCCTCTCTTCACGCCTCCGACGTTTCTCCTCCTTGCGCAACCTTCTCTCCTCCCTCTTTCTTCTTTTCAATTCTTTCCTACGCTCTGTCGCTGAATCATAATCCGATTCATCTTCTAGAGATGTTTCTTTCTGGTCTAACTTTTTGGGCCTTCTCTCAGTCTTCTGCGCTCTATTTTTATCTTCCGAGTCTGTATCCACGGGACAAATTCGATCATTCTTATCTAGCTTCGCTGATTTCTCTGCATAACTTGCATTTTCTTCCACGCGAGGCCTTTTCCTATCATCATTACGTAAAGCTTCGTCCAAGTGCGAATTCTTTGCGAAGTCCTGCTCTTTTGTTGGTCTTCTGCCAGGGGAGGAATAATCTCTAGCAACCTTCTTACTAGAAGATCTCTCCTGGCCAATTAGATTAGGCGATAAGTTACCATCCATCTTCCCAGGACCATACTCGACCTCTTCATCTAAAAGAGATATTTCCTCCGTGAACCCTTCTGGAGGATCTGTGGCACTGCAAAGAGAAACCTAGTTAACAATGGTCACATAAAATTTATGCTCTAGTGAAAATACATAAACTATGGCCAACTAAGTTATCAGTTTTGAAAACTACATCAACGCTGCATCATCCCATTCAAAAAGGGCGGGTTTGACAACAGGTAGAACAATCAATCACAACCAGACAATCAATCAATGAAACGGAGGGTAAACAAAACATGCACCAATGTGTCCCCAAAAATGGAGAAAGACATTTCTTTCGAGGATGGGAGAGAGGTGAGAAAAAGAACCTCTTCTGTTCGTGATGCTCCATTATTTTCAAGTCAACATTATGCCTATCATACACAGAATCCTCGACTGCTAATTCCCCAGGAGAAGATTCTTCAGAATCATAGCTTCTTGAGAGTTTCCAACTAGTTCCAGAGGGTGAACGCTGACTTTTCTTGCTCAAAGAACTAATTTTCTGAACTGAAGTTTCCCTGTAGTTGATATGAAAAAATATTTACAGTTATGATTCACTTTAACATATTTAACGATTTTAGAGTTTAACGAAATTTTCCGGAGAAAAAACCTCGCATCAGAGCTTCCTCCTCTTGATTCAGGGCTATCATGACTAGCTATTAATCCCCTACCTTGCCTGTCAGGACTCTTTGATGAACTGTGAAACATTTGAAGAAAACTAATTAACATTTTCATGGCAGCAAAGCGCTGGCTGTATTTTAACAACGGATCAGACTACCACCCACACCTGTTTCCACTTGTATTCATCTGTTGCCCACGAGGAGGGGAGCCCGAATTTTTTCCATGGGTTTCAGTTGGTGCAGACTTAATATCTTGTTTTACTGATGGAGAGTCTAGTCTACCACGTCGCAAATCAATTTTTTTACTTTCTTCTTTTTCAATAGAACGGTTAGGTGACCTCTTCAAAATGGTTCTGTAAGAAATGTAAATAAATATATAATGGCACACTTCCTCCAATCATGGCAATTACAATACCATTGCAGATATGAATAAAATCAGCAGATCTTAAGGATTGGCCAAGTTCAGAGGGAATTTGGATCCTGTAACGATATATTTTGTTTGATAATAAATCAGAAACTGAGACAAGGATGGCCTCATCCAAGTATGATTTCGAACATGTTTCATGCATTAAAAAATTGATATGTTATAATATATATTCTATACCACATGATTACACAGAACATAACCGACATTAGTTTGATCTTCATGCCTTTTCCTCGTAATTATCGCTTTCAACCTAATCGTCAGTCACATATAAAATTCGGAACAATTAAGACGCCACTTGTCAGGAATGCAAAATGGGATTAGCCATATAGGAACCAAAATTGGTGCCACAGCTAAACAACAACATAACAACCACATAAAAATTCTTTAAAGCACTAAACACAAAAAAAATCTAGAAGACAATGAAATCTACAAGCTAGAAGTATCCGTGACAGGCCTAATCATCCTCATACCTTCTGACCTCCACCCCAGGACGATTACTCTGTTCCCTGCTCAAACTGCTGTGACTCTGAGATGAACTCCGACTTTGGTTGGTATTATGGCTCCTGCATGAATGCCACTGAATCACATGTTAAAAGCAAAAAAGAAAACAAGAACCACTCATTAAATAAATGATAAAATAAGACTCAAGAATAGAGACCTATTCATTTGTCGTGGGGAACTTTGTGAGTCAGCAGCACGCTGCCTTGGTGAATGTCTCAATGATATCCTGTGGTGTTTTGGTGACCTAGGCTGTGGAGATCTCTTTAAAGGAGATGGTGAATTGTGTTTCATTGGTGATAAAGATATCCGTCTAGAAGGTGATTTGTGATTTGCTGGAGAAGGTGACCTCCGACGGAGTTTTACAGGTGACCTACGACGTATAGGAGATTTCCTCCATGAAGGTGATGGAGATCGATGATGTCGACGAGAAGGTGATTGCCTATGAGAACGTGGTGGTGACCGACGACGTGGAGGTGACCGAGACCGGCGACGTATAGGTGATGGCCGACGAAGGCGAGGGGATGGAGATCGCCGACGCACTCGGACGGGAGACCTACGGCGAAAAGGAGATGGGGATCTATGATGCAAGCGAGGTGAAGATCTTCGCCTTGCATAAGGTGATCTCCGCCTTGAAGCAGGAACCTGAGGTGAACGATGCCGATGAGGTGAAACAGAATATCTTGGCAGAGATCGGCGCCTCCTGTCCTGAGAATGCAAATGCCTTGGAGGACTAGTTGATAGAGATGCGTCCCTTGACTTGCGTCCATCACTGAAAAAGTAAGAGCTTAAGATTGCACGGATAAAGTGATACAACAATCTTCTTGTTTCTTGCCAAAAACATAAAAATCAAATCTCAACAAGTCGAAATCGTGTGAATGTTAATTATGTAGTGGAAATTATGCAATAATTTTCTAGGAAAAACGCAATAATACTGTTACTAAGGCATTAACCTTTGAAGAACTTATGATTAACAGACCACAGATGTCACAGATGACCAGGTGCTACACCAATATTGTCGCAAAGGCAGTGAGAAGGATGACAAGTCAGCAATGGACTACCTTTTCTATAGCTATAATTAACAAATATAAACACGCACAAAGTCTTATCTATATACATATATAGAGAGAGTAAAGGACCGGCTAAAGCACTTATAGCAAAAGTCGCTGATAACGACCATCAATGGGGCTCTGACAATACACCATCTTCTGAGCCACTTGGAATAGACAGAAATAAACACCCAGCATCCAACCAAGAAACTTCACCCCAAATAGCCTTCACTAAGACAAAAAATGGGAACATTGACACTCTCATGTAAAACAGTGACATAAAACCACATAACTAAACAAAGAGAAGCACAACTATGACTCATCAGAGACAATGGTAATGCACCATCGAAGCAGTGTGATTAATGAAAACTAGACTGATATTGGCAAGAACCAAGCATTGACACTCCGATTAATAGCAGCCTGTAGGTATTATAAGGGTTATTTTGGTCACCATTGAAGAATAAATCAGCACATTGGTTTTGCAAGATGCCACACAACATCCAAAAGCATCAGAAAAAGATATTTCACACAATTCACCACGACCAGTGGAATAAAGAAACTAAATTAAATTAAAATAAAATGTATAAGTGTAATAATAATATACTCTGAATAGCTCCTGGAGCGGGAAAATGATCTACTGCGTGACTTAGTAACTGCATGAGAGCCCCTGTAAGATGTACCCAATCAAGCGTCAACTTCGGTATTTATAAATAAAAGGGCACAAAAGTTGAGTTTAAAAAAACGCCCTTACTTTTGAGGGAATGGAGACTTTCCATCTGAATGATAAGAAGGGGAACGCTGCCTGATAAAAAAATCAATTTGGTTAAGACGTTACTAGGGGAAAAACAGAGACAAATACATTATGAACATGAAATGTTTTCCCTTTATGTTTAAGAAAAAAACAGGCAATGGGACAGATCCACCAACTTCCAATCTATTTTTCCTTCTTTATTGTAAAATTATTTTCACTTTTAATCTTCATATCCAACAACTCCTAGAAATCATATTTTATGACATTGTTTCAAAAAAAAATGTTCCACAGAAAAGATCTTGAGATAGTGAATCAACATGTAATGTTGCATAGCCATACAAATATAATGAACATATTCAGATTTTTTTTCCCACCTTATGGAAAGCATCTCCCTAACCCCATGCGTATGATGTTTGGGATGACCTTTGAAAATGTTTATGGTAAAACTTATGAGACGCTTTTTCGTCTTTGTGCTAATATTTTATTTTCGGAATGCACTGTTTACCGGGGGTCCAAATCTGCGACCTAAGGAACTACGCACATAATTCAGAGTCAGATTCTTCCAGCCAGATCCGAGAAATCCAATTACATCCCAAAGATAAAGTCTCCACAGAGACAGAAAACCTTCAAAAGAGAGGAATAGGCCCAAGTCAACCCCCCTCCCGGGACTTTGACCCTTTCCACATGCATCTTGTCATTTTCCCAAGAAAGTTAATAACACAGTTACCAGCATTCAGCCAAGCCAAAAATTAAAGGGCGGGCCGAAGCAATGAGCATCCTGGGTGGCCACATCGCATGATCAGTATCTTCACTTGCCTGGGTGGCCCCATCCTTATAACCCTTAAATAAATAACTGGTTCCTACCTCCATATCAGTGGCTATTTCTCTCTGCAGTCGGATGAACAGATAATGCATTCACGTGTATATAAGAAACACATGCAGATATAGATAACTAGAAACTAAGAAAGCAATGGATGTCCACCTGGGATCCCCACTAGGTCTGCTCGAGGAGGGAACAGCTTTGCACACTATGCAACTAACCAGGAAAGGATTCACAGCAGCATTACCATGTTCCCATCTCACAAGCAATTAGTTTCAACACATATATCCCCACAATGATAAGATACATGAAGCATAGATGCGGGAGAACCGTGTGAGGAAATGACGTTTTTATCTACATTTCAGCAAAACCATAAGTCTGAATCCAAAAGGTTTCCATTCCGAATAGGAGATGGCATTAATTTAGGGTGTTAAAAAAAATGGTTTCAGATATATGATAAAGACGCCCTTGTTTATTTCTAGATTCTTTTCCTGTTTATTTCCCTAGCACCCCAGAAGGGTGCCACATATATTATAAGCCCAAAAAATAGACCCTACAGGATTTCAAAGAACATTCAAATAAAAATAAACCAAAAGTTACTTTTAGGGTAGTTAGTCTCATCATCATGCTCGGCAGCGTGAGATGAATATTCTAAATTTTCACGGGGGTATATTCTGATCTCAGAGAATTTTGTTTTGGTTCTCGTCTGATGATTTGTCCGTTTCCATCATTCATCAATGTTTTATTCATTACCAACGATCCACGCATTATTGCACTATCGAACTGAACATCAGCATAACAAAAATATTTAACAAATACACTGTCCGTTATATGGTTTCTTTAGAAATAAACAGATAATGATTTTATTTCAAATTTAGAAGCAAATAAGAAACAAAAAAATGCCATGGAAAAAATTCAATGAATGACCTGCTCGTTCTCCTTGAGACACGTCTCCGGTCTGTTTCTCTCTCATCCTCAGGGTTAGCAGTAGAAGGCCTCCCCCCTGAATGCTTCAGAAGAGCAGTAGACGCAGCATCCATATGTCTTGTAATATCTGCCTCACCGTCCTACAGTAGTTCGAGGGAAAGAAGGACATGAAGCCAAACAATCGGAGAAGCAGGCTGAATGCCAGGAAAAAAAGCAAAAGCCAGTTAAAAATAGATTCTAATCATAGAATGCAACTCATGCTCAAATAAATAGCCTACCATTCCTTTCAGATTCATTTGAATGGCATCTTGTCCCTCTCTCTCCCTCCTCTTCTGAATTTCCTGAGTTATCCTCTCAGATTCCACCTACAAGAGCAAATAAATAAGTCATAGGAAAACCGTAACGCTGGAAGTACATAACCAACTGGTGATAATGACGTGAAACAGCAACACAAACCATCTTCTTCTTCATTTCCTCCTCCTTTTCATCCAGGAATTGCTGTGGGACACCACTAGCATTTTTCTGAGCGCTCAGTAAAAGAACCCAAAGCTCCTTCATAAATTTCCCCGTATTCTTCTCCATAAAACCGGTGAGCTGTATTTGAATCTGCTTACCATCCACTTCCTGAGACATTACATTCAGTAAAATCAGATAATGCGTACACATGAAAGGAACTTAGATTTCAATAAAAATAGGCAACGAACCTTTGCATCGAGGAGACCATAGACAAAATTAATAAGGACTTCATCTTCAAAACCCAGCAGTTCGGTTACCCTCTTTGCAATCCACGGCTTCATCACGTCCATCTTAACCTTCGTCATATCCACCTGAGAACGAAAAGAATGAGACAAACCGATCCCCGCGAGGAATGAAGAAAGAGCAGGCCGTCATCTCGTCAGTCCCACAAATCATCCCAATTTCACCGGAAAAGGCACAGCCCACCCCGTTCGAGTTCGCCACCATACGGCGAATTCGACAAACTCAATGTCGCATGAAACAAAAGAAGACGCCTGAAGATGATGGTCACTGACCAGGTGATCGAGCTCCTGCGCGAACTTCTGCGTCTTCAGGAGCTTCGCCTGCTTGTTGGAGAAGCGGGTGTCCTGATCGGCCGAGGTGCCCTATGCGTCGAAACAAAAAAAAATACAAAAAAAGAGATTCAGAACCCTAACACGTCCCTTCATGGGAGATCCCCCGCAATAATCGAAGACATGGAAGCCTTGGGAGGAGAGGGCATCCTACCCGGAAGAATCCCCCGGACATCGTTATCCACGGCTGCTGCCGCGTTCACAGACCGAAGCAACAAGCACAGGCACCCCGCGAGTTTCCACTTCTCCGACCCCCGAGGGTTTTCTTCCTCTCGGTGCTATCGTCTCCTCTCGTTCGAACTCCCTTTATACGCGACCCTCCCAGTGCCCAGTGGCCACATCAACACGAATAACCTGATTTTTCACAGAATTACGACAATACCACGCTTCTGCGTCGGTTTCCCTGCCACTTACGTGGCAGCCAATCTGGCGGTCCATCTCATCAGGTCACAGAGAGAGCCAGAGATCAGGCTTCAGACAAATCCCGGCTATTTTTGGCCGCAATTACATCTAGAAAGCTGATCGTAAGCTGAATAATCACGGCGTATTCATCAATCACGACACGATCACCACAAGATAATCAGAAAATAAAATAAAATCTAAACGAGGCAACAAAGCGCATGAAAGTTCGAGACCAAAAAAATTTGCCCATAAATATAACCCCTTTTTTTAAAAGAAAAAAAGAGCAGCAAGCTCAGTTCTCTTTCCTCATGGCAACCCATCTCTCTCTCTCTCTCTCTCTCTCTCTCAAGAGGCCATTTTCGCTGATCATCTTCTTCCTTGGGTGGGTCGGTGGGTCGATTGCTGGGAGGAGCTCAAATTCCATTGTCAGCGCAGAATTTATACACTGGATTCACCCTGAACATCTCCGTCTTCATCTTCGTCAAAGGATCAGCAGAAGCTGTACATCTCGTCTGCATCATCAGCCCAGGATCACTCTTCCTCCTTGACGAAACCATACATCTCCTGCTTGACGTCGTCGTCGTCGTCCTCCTCTTCCTCCTCCTTGTTGCAGCCGTCGTACTCCTCGTCATCGATCTCTGTCGGAGATCGCGCCCGGTGAATCCATCAATCCTGCAAAGGAACCTGACTGGAGAGCTCGGAGATGAATGCGGGCAGAGGGCATACCGGCGCTGAAGAGGGCGTCGTCCTCGTCGGTGTGAGCGGCCTCTGAAGAAGAGGTTGGCTGAATGAGCTCCACCCAGTTGGACTCGTCGTCTTCCCTGGTAAAGAGCCCGGTTCTCTCCACTGTCCAGTCTTCAACGCCGCTGATGGCGTCGACCGAGAGGGGGTCCGTCTGTCTGTTCTTCAGAAGGTGCCTTCAAGAAGAGCTTACTCACTCAGTCGGTTATTTATTCGGTCAACGTCTCTATCCTCATACAAGAAAAATAAGGATAAATTCCTTTTTTAGGAAAAAAAAGTTTTTTTTTTTTGGTGGTAACATAAATTGAGTGCAGACAATTCGGTGATCTCATGAACCACTGGCTTTGACTTGCAAAGGCTTTCCCTTACCGTTGGAATACAGGCTCATCTATGAGGTCAAACCATTAGTTTTGACTTGGGTGGAATAAGCTTCATATTAAAAAAACCATTGGAGAATATATATATATTGCGGTCGTATAGATGGATATAGTCAGCTCAGGTATGAGGTCAACGAAACCAAGAACTCCCCTTACCTTTGCTGCAATCTAAGGTTGTACCGGACATAAATGAGATCACTGAGTCTCTGATGCTCCAAATGGTTCTTTCTTTGGCTGTGCATCTGCTCGAAGGGGATGCGGCTTCGCTCGCATCCTCTCGCACTACACGTTTGGCTGAGGATTCTGATGGCCAGGCGAGCCAGGTTCGGGCAACCCCCGCCATATGTTGACCACCATTCGCCTGATGAATTGCCAAAAGGAGAGGCAAAGATCTAAAATAAGCAGAGCAATTGATTGAACTGCAAGCAGACTGCCCGGAAAATAGTAAAAATATATAATTTTTCTGGGAGAAGGGCGGAGGGAGGGTTCAGTCACCGGGGAGCAGGGTGTGCCTGGCCCTGATCGCCATCTTCCTCCCGAAATCCCCAGTCGCGTTCTTGTAGGCGGTCAGTTCCTTGTTGATTTTATCCTGAGATTTCATCTCGGGCACCAGCCTCTCGATGCAGTCCAGCACCCCCGTCATGATCTCGTTCGGGACCTCCCCTTTAATGCGGTAGAAGAACTGAGGGTTGAGGAAGAAGCCTGCAGCCTGGAGAGGGCGCGGCAGCTCCTTGTGCCACCTCCAGTCGATGATGTTCCAGTAGGGCATGTAATCCTTCTTCATCTTCAGCACCCTCCTCATCACCTCCTTCGCCCGGTGCAGACCCCTGTAAATGTAACCCATGGCAGGCCGTTTGATGCTGTCGACCATCCTCAAGACCTGCACCAGGGGGTCCGTCAGCTGAACCAGGGAGTCGACCGACGACCAGAACGTCGGGCTGCATATGAGCTCCGTCATGGCAGCCGCGGCCTCGTTCTTCGAGCACGAACTGTTCTTCCATTCTTCGGAGCCCACCATGCTCGACAGATTCTCCTTCAAACCCGCCATGGCTTTCAGGGTCATGAAGGTGGTGTCAGACGGGCTCCTCCCGGGCCGCACCAGCTCCTTCCCGTCGGTGAACCTCCTCGCCATGTTCAGAACCTCCGCATGGTTGTAGACGAACCGCGTGATCGATCTCGCGTGCTCCAAGATTATGCTTGCGGGTTCCAGCTTCACGATGTCCTCGAGCATGGCGTCAACGCATCGGGAAGCACAGGGCGTCCAGAACATGGACGGGAAGGTCTCGGTCAACCTCTTTCCGGCGAGGGCGTGGGTCTCCGTGTTGCTGGTAACGACCTGGAGCACGTTTCCCACACCCACTTCCTCGACGACGAGCTTGAGCAGCTCATACAGAGCATCTGCAGATGTAACCATCTGCGACGCATCCACCGATTTTAAGAACATTACCCCTTCTGGGCAGTAGACCATGAAGTTTATCAAGGTCTGGTCCGCCTCCGTCGTCCACTCGTCGGCCAGAATGGAGCACCCTGTTCGCGTCCAGGTCTCCTTGTAGAAATCTACAGTGGCCTTCATTTCCTCCACTGAATTCTTCAGTACCCACCCGCGGAGGTCGTGGTACGAAGGAGCCTTGAAGCTCGGGCCGGCGGCGGCAATGGCGTCGATCATCGGCTGGAAATGGGCGGAGTTCACAGCATCCAGTGGGACCTCCGCTTCGTAGAGGAACCGGCCGATGGCCAGGCACACTTGATCTCCGTCCACTGTTCCCCCCAGGTTAGCTCTTGCGAACCCATTTTCCTTCAATGGAGGAGACAGGTTCTTGGCCGCCCTCCTCCTCTTCCTCTCGTGGGTTCTGGCGACGACTTCCTCCTCCCTCTTCTCCAGTTGCACCGCCTCCGGCTCCACAGAAATCGGCATGGCCACCAGCTGGAGCCCCATCTCTGCTTCAGAATGGCCGTCAGCGGTGTCCGCCGGCTTCACAGGGTTGAGCTTCTTAACCTCCTCCGCTAACTTCTGCTTCTTCCTCCTCCTCATCACCACCCCGTCCAGGCTCTGCTGCATCGCTCGGCGCACCTCCATGCTGACCTTGGGGCAGCTCGAGGCGTTGCCCTTCTGGCAGGCGAGGTGCTCCTTGATGCGGTGGATTCCTCCCCCTGAGAACAGCTTGTGGCAGTACATGCACCTGAGATGGATCCTGTCTGCCCTCTTGATCATATGGCAGTGCTTCCACGCCGGGTCGTGCTTCTGCGAGCTCAGGGGAAGAATGATGTCCGGCCCAGGTGACGAAGCCATGTCGACCTGCAAAAACACAACCGACGAACGGTCACCACCCTGCAAGAAATCACAGCTGAGCTCCCCACGAAGCCCTCCAATGGCGGAATCTCTCGGATTCACCCTCTTCTCTTCTCCTCCGCGACAAGAACCAGGAATCAAACTCCCCCCCTTCCCGGTTGAATCGACGAAAACAGCGCATATATCAGAGAATTAGGTCAATGAAGCAAGCCACGACCGAGCATACTCAGACCTCCGGACAATGCCGAGCGGAAACAACAGCAAGAGAATTCAGAAGAACCCCATGTACGGACAATGCGTCGGAAACTAAACAAGCGACTGAGAGAAGCACGCCATGGAACTGCCCGCGGCTCCCCACAAGGGCACCGAGAAAGAAGGAAATCCGGTCGGAGGACGAAGAGGCCGGCCATGGAACAGGACGACCGTGCGCTCGTCGGGGGTTTTAAGAGGGAAGAAACCGGGAAATGGAGGAGGAAAAATGTTGGGTTTTTCTCACTCGGGGCCTGGCGGGCGAAGGCGGTCGCTCCCAATGTCCCCGCGGCGAGCCGCAGAGAACCAGAAGAGGGCGATCTGGAGCGGTCCGGCTTTGGGTCGGCGTATTATAGCCGGGAAGGAAGGGAATAGGGTTGTGACCGGGCGAGCCGGTCAGGCCGCCAGGGGGATAGGGGTAATTTCCGACCCGGTCGTTCCCTGGTTTTCCGGCTCTTGGGCTGTCGACCGCCCAGTTGGGCCCGTTGACCGGGAGAAAACCGGAGCTCCCGGTTGCTTTGGCGGCGGTTCGGATTCCGGCCGGCCGTCGCCCCGGGTCGGACCAGCCGGCGGCGGCCTGCGCTGCGCGGTCGATCTTCCTTCTCCTTCCCTTGAACCTGATCTTCCCCGCGGGATTTGGGTTTTCGTCTCCCGCCCTTTTGCGCGGCGGACGGAGAGGCGGCGAGGGCTCTTCCTTCTGCATCCCTCCGTGTGTTTTCCTGGGGGATTGGATCGCCTCAGCACAGATTGCCGGCGATCCCTGCGACTGTTCCTCCGGCTCCTGGTTAGGGTTTTTGATGCTCCAAAATGGTGGGTTTTTGGTTCGGTGATAGGGGTTGTGGACGCGGAAAAGTGTTATCAACGTGTTAGCTCAGGGTGCAGGTTGGATCTGGAAGGAACCGCCATCTGGATCAATCCTTCTGGTTATAAGGCGACTTCTGCATTTTTATTTATTTTGTTTTTATTTTGTAAATCGAGGGAGGTTTACGACGATTATAGGCTGAGGCTGTCAAAAGCCGATAGTTCTGCAGCGCTGTTTTGAATCGTTCATCCCTAAATTTTTGCTCGATTTAGGCAATTATTTGATGTACCGAGTGAGTGTGCACTGAGTGGAGT